TTTTCTCGTTAAGAATGGGGATGTAACACCGAGGAGTGTGGTGGAGAAGCACCTTGGGGAATGGATAATTCCATTACAAGCTACATAGCTTAGAGGGTACTCAGTAAAGGAGACCTCAGATTTCATCGCTGAAAGACAAACAATTGGTATGAAGCAAACATACATCTGCTTTAATGAACACACTTATTCCTCTTTGAACAACAGAACGGTGGATACATGCAATTGCTGTCTGGTTCAATACGTGAAAAGTATTGAGCATGCAGTGGAGCACAGACTGTCGCTGGTGCCTCAGCTTGTTTCAGGAACGAGAGTTACGCATGCAGAAGGAGCAGTTTTCCTTTCACCCGCCAGGTGAGGAGGGAGGCAGGAAACCCAGCCTTTCATTTCCAGTAGGAGTAGAGCAGTTATGTCTGTGAATGGCATCAGGAAAAGCTGTAGTTATTGAACAATGAGTGTTAAAGATTAATTACATGGCAGTTTGTGTATTAGTAATGAATACTTTTTATCCATTTGAAAAAATATATAAATAGATGGATATGTGAATTTATTATGATGGAAGGTGGGCTTTGCTATCAATTGAGTAAGTTAGAACATCGCCTGGCAGCTTTAAGAGAATATGGGCAAAGTGTTGAGACATTTTGTCTATTTTTATTTTTTTCCCTGCTGTGTGCATATAACATTGTAAATCTTTTGACTATAAAAGTGGAGGGGTAGAAAAAAAGAGGTTTTCCCACTTTTTTTCTTCAGAGATTTCATTATGAAGGACTCACTTAAAAAAAGAACAGTATAAATGGCCAGAGCAGGCTGTACTACTTCTCACCTATCACAAACATTGTGTTTCTGTTGAAATTTCTTGGATTTGACTTACATGGGAAAGCAAAGGCCGTTGTCACCTTCATAAGACTTTCAACAATCACTTCTGACAGCAGTTTAACGTTCAGAAAGAGTAACATACTCATGATGAAGAAGATGATGCAAGTTCTGCCTGTAGTAGAGTTGTAATCAACAAAGTAAACATAATTGTTTTAATTCTGCTGAGATTTATGCAAATAAAAGTACTACTGTTATTAATATTTAATGCTTTATTAAGCTTAGATGTACTTCTGGTCTGTACTGTTACCGGTCTTGCACAGAGCAGGTAAAAACTATAGCTGGCACAGCATTCAGGAGAATGGTCTTTTATATAAGATTCTCGAGATGGATTTTGAAGATGGAAATACTTCTTTTTTTTTTTTCTTTTTTCTTTTTTTTCTTTTTTTCTTTTTTCTTTTTTCTTTTTTTCTTCTTTTTTTCTTTTTTTTCTTTTTTCTTTTTTTCTTTTTTTTTTCTTTTTTTTTTCTTAAGCAGAAGTGCCTGTACAACGTAGGCAAATACTTTTGATGTTTTTATAGACATCAGCTGGAATATAATCCTACTCTTCCACAGGGTTTGCACTATTATTTTTGCCTGAAGAAGGGACTTTTAACAAATGGATTGAGTGCAGAATAAGGACTCATGGTGATTTTTGGGTTTTAAACCTTCTGACAGAAGGTTGTGCATTGGTCTAGACAGCACTGATATCAGATGAAATGAAAGTGAACCAAAAAGGAGTTTAAGTCAAAAATTGATTTCAGTCAAAGTTCAAACTACTGTGTCCTACTTAAATCTGTATGAAACATGTCAGGTTCTTTATGGAATGTTCCTTGAAAGACAGCCATATTCTGGATGTATGTTATGGTTCTCCCACTTCATTTCATTTATGTGGGTTTTGTGCTTCTGTATGCGTTTTCATAAATGTCCTACCTGACCTAAGCTTACTAAGGTCTTGCTGGTTCCTGGAAGGTGCAGTCCTTGTCGGCTCCATCATGCTGGCCATAATACTTGCAGTCACAGTCAAAATGGGTAGTTAATCACATTGAAAATTAATATCACCAAAGACGACCCCCTTAGGACTGGTTTTCAGTCAGATCACTTTTCTGACAGAGAGGGACAGGCAGAAACATGCCTGTCAGATATAAGATGAATTTAGACCACTTAAAACTCATTATAAACTGCCTCTCATAAGATAATTTTCCTGTGCTATCTTAAAACAGATAAAGTCAGAAGCTGTAGCGTGTATGTAGGATGAAGTACCGTTTCTTGTTTCATACAACCATTAATCCTGAGAAGCAGTCCAGAGTTCAACAAAGTTATTTCAGTAGAAGGAGGAAAGAGACTTCTAAGCAATCTGTTCAAACGAAAATTTGTCACTGCTGCAGAAGCTGCTTACAGATCTTGCCTGTTTCCCAAGAAGGCCCTTTCGCCTATCTTTCCAAGGTTAGACCCGAGTCAAGATGTTCTTACTGGCTCAGCAAAGTCTTAAGCAAAGGCCAGCACTGCCAGTGGTGCAGAACATATTAATTATGTAGTACTTTATGGTGTGGACCGCTGCCTGTCAAAGATCGGTAACAAAGATCACTATATGCATTTCAATTAGGATGCCATGCTCTCCAAAGTGGATTTTTTTTCCCCAGTCTTTATTCTTTTTTCAACCTAGAAGTCCAGAGATGGTGCTTCATCTTGAATGTTTCTTCTGTCTCTGGAAACAGTAGAATAGAGCAGCTAAGAAAACAGCTCTTCACTGAAGACAAGAATCTAAAATTATCTTCAGATAAGTAAAGTAACGACTGTATAACTCTTGTCTTTACACATGCTTTGAAAACAAATGAAATCTAGTTTGAAGGTTCCCTTGTCTAGCATCAAGTAAAGATCAAGCAATTTACAGTTTCATAACACTTGCACAAGAAGTGAAAACAGTCTTACAGAATGAGTCTTTGGGGCGTAAGTGATGTGAAGTTCATGTGAGCATACCTACGTAACAGTATTTAACAGTACAATTAGACATGAATGGAAGAGAAGACAATCTGCATACCAGAGGTTAATGGTTCTTTCTGTCTGTGACTTGAACAACTATCACTGACTGTTCGGCCATCGTTTCTATTGCTGAAGGCTTTGAAAAAGCATGAAACGGCATGCCCTCAGTATCAGTGAGTGACAGCTTGCATTGAGCTACTGATTTGGATGTAACATTCATTGATTTCTCTAAGATTGAATGTTGAGGATGGCAAACAGAAATCTGTTTAAAAATGCCACAGCTATGAACATGGCTGTTTATCTCATCACTGTTGTGCTTTCTCAAGCATCAAGATCTCACATTATGAGCTTTTGTAGGGAGACGCTTGCAGTTCTGTCATTTGGATGCTGTGATAACTACATGCTGCTCAGTTTCCTCTCTTGTCTTTAGGCGTTGGATCTCTGCTGTGTGTCACGAAGTCTTAGATTAGCAAATGGAAAAGAGAATCACAGAATCACAGAATAGTAGGGGTTGGAAGGGACCTCTGTGGGTCATCTAGTCCCCCCCCCCCGCCGAAGCAGGGTCACCTACAGCAGGCTGCACAGGACCTTGTCCAGGCGGGTCTTGAATATCTCCAGAGAAGGAGACTCCACAACCTCCCTGGGCAGCCTGTTCCAGTGCTCCGTCACCCTCAGAGGGAAGAAGTTCCTCCTCATGTTCAGACGGAAGCATTTGATAAATGCATAGTTACCTTTAAAGTACTTTTTAGTCTGTCAAATGTTTGATTAGAAATTCCAAATGAGTGCACATGAACTGTCCAACATCTCTTTTTACATGCTTCTTAGGCGTCTGGAATTGAGTGTTGTCTCTTGTTCCAGGGAATGTGTCCAATAAAGTCTTTGTTTAGGAGTATTTCCCTTACTCAAAGTACTATGTTCCTCATCTAATCTAAGCCTTATTGCCATATTACTTCAGACCATTTTTACAGGTCTGAAGAGAATAGACATCCTTTTCTTTTTCTCTGGACTTCTTGACCAGCTGACCATCTTAAAAATACTGGTACATTGTCTGCATCAAAATTCAGAAGACTGATTGTCAGAATATTGCTTGTTTTGTTGCTTCTTTTTATCACTGTTGCAGTAACTTTGGTCATATTACTGATCTGATTTTCTTTTGCCTAATGTATTGCCATTTATGTAGTGCATGTAACAAAGTTATATCAAACCTGAAACATTTGGATAGTTTGTCCTCTTTTGATGGTATCAAGTCTTTCCTTTCAATTTACTTGGAACTCTGGACTTCCCTAATAAGTAGTTTGATCTCTAATGCGGAAAGGCTGACATCCAGTTGGAATGAAGTGAAGGACAGAAGTTGTTAACAATACACAGTAACTTAGTTCTTGACAGCTCTGATTTGAGCAGTAAAATGAATAAATCAGACAATAAATGTGTTTTATTGTGAAACATGAAAGGTTAGGGAGATTGTGCAGTGTCTTAATGCGCTGGTATTTCTTCTGTAAAGAAGCAATTTTTAAGTTCTGGTTACGCACCCAAATAATAGCAAGTTTGCTGCTTTTCTGTTCCTTCAAATGCTACTACAGTTCACAAAAACAACTATACAAATTTAAAGAATTCAGCATGCTTGGGAATATCTCTTTCAAGACAGGACCGTGTAGCTTATGAGGGTTGACCTACGTGGGCAGAAGGGCTGGAAAAGCTTGTTCGGCTTCACCTGTACCTTGTGCTTTGTTCAGACTCCTACTGTTAATCCCTTGGTTTTCTGTGTACTCAAGTTATACAACATACATTGCATAAATTTACCTGTTCCCTGAACTCTTTTGGTCCAAATTACTAATTCTTTCGTCCTACATAAAGTGCTGTCGTTTGGACTTTGGAAAGAGAGGGCCGATCCCCACAAGCCTCCAGTTTTTGAAGTGATCGAGTGTTTTGATAAAATGACTGCTGTGGAAAGGAACAGCATTCCCTCTCTAGTAATGCTCCTTAACTTTTGAAGCTTTGTTGTATTTTTAGAGTGTGCTGTAGAGGGGATGTATTATCCCAGTAATACTGCTCACAGACAACTAAGAAAAAGATCCATATAGCATTTCATAACACTGTAAATTTGTTGAATTTCTGAGTGCGCTATTTGAACTGATCACAAAAAAACTTCTAATAAACTCTTCCCACAGAAACTGAAACAGAAGAATCAGCAGCTGAAGCAGATCATGGATCAGTTACGGAACCTCATTTGGGACATAAATGCCATGTTGGCAATGCGGAACTGAACGAGAAAAATCAAACTTTGTAACTGGAAAAGATACAAATTTGTTTGTATATTCTTAATTTCTTTCTAAGAAGTAACATCTTTTCCCATAACTGTATTGCAGTAATGTTTGAAAAGTCTTCAAGATTAAAATATTGATTTTTTCCTAATAATTTAAATGGTATTGGCATTGTTTTTATGTAAGATTCATCCTACAGGTTTTGCCTGAGTGGTTCATTTAGGCTGAATATAATACAGCCTTGTTATGGGCTTGGGTAGCAGGGGGACTATAGGGGTGGCTTCTGTGAGAAGCTGCCAGAAGCTTCCCCCATGTCTGACAAAGCCAGTGCCAGCCAGCTCCAAGACGGACCCGCGACTGGCCAAGTCCAAGCCAATTGGTAGCGCCTCTGGGATAACATATTTAAGAAGGGAAACGAAAAAAAAAACAAACCTGTGGTAAGATGGCAGTTGAGAGAGAGGAGTGAGACAATGTGAAAGAAACAACTCTGCAGACACCAAGGTCAGTGAAGAAGGAGGAGGAGGAGGTGCTTGAGATGCCGGAGCAGTCTTCCCTTGCTGCTCGTGATGAAGACCACGGTGAGGCAGGTTGTCCCCCTGCAGCCCATGGAGGTCCACGGTGGAGCAGATATCCACCTGCACCCTGGGGAACGGACCCCATGCCGGAGCAGGGGGATATGTGAAGGAGGCTGTGACCCCATGGGGAGCCCGCGCTGGAGCAGGCTCCTGCCAGGACCTGCGGACCAATGGAGAGAGGAGCCCATGCCAGAGCAGGTGTGGTGGCAGGGCCTGTGGCCCCATGGGGGACCCACGCTGGAGCAGCCTGTTCCTGAGGGACTGCACCCTGTGGGAAGGGACACACGCTGGGGCAGTTCGTGAAGAGCTACAGCCCGTGGGAAGGACTCATGTTGGAGCACTTTGTGGAGAACGGTCTCCCATGAGAGGGACCTCGCACTGGAGCAGGGGCAGAGTGTGAGGAGTCCTCCCCCTGAGGAGGAAGGATCGGCAGAGACAGCAGGTGATGAACTGACCGCAACCCCCATTCCCCATCCCCCTGCGCCGCTCGGGGGGAGCAGAGAGAGAAACGGGAGTGAAGCTGAGCCCGGGAAGAAGGTAGGGGTGGGGGGAAGGTGTTTGAAGATCTGGGTTTATTTCTCACTGTCCTACTCTGATTTGATTGGTGATGAATTAAACTCCCTTTTCTCCCCAGGTTCAGTCTGTTTTGTCCGTGACAGTAACTGGTGAGTGATCTCTCCCTGTCCTTGTCTGGACCCTCGAGCCTTTCATCAGATTTCCTCTCCCTTGTCCAGTTGAGGAGGGGAGTGAGAGAGCAGTTGTGGTGGGCACCTGGCATTTATCCAGGCCAAACCAAAACAAGCGTAAGTAACTTACAGTAATAATTTGGATTGCTATGCATATGGGGGTTCTTACAAATGAAGTGTTTCTGGATTATTTGTTTTTACACAATGAACACTTTTAAAAACATGTGTTTGCATGCTGTTCTGCAGTGCGAATCACTTCTGCGGAGAGGAAAAGTTGCAATACAGAAGAGTCACTTTAGTACGCTAAAGGATGAAAATAAGTAATTTACAACGCAGTACGTTTCCCCTATACTCCAGGCTACTATGCCATGTAAGTTCATGTCATTCCATATCCTGTCACTGGATATATGTTATATTAGATAAAATTCAAAAGCTACATAAAATTACCCCTATATCCTTATGGATACAATGAAGTCTGTTTAAGCGAAGACTGCATACATATACCCTCAACATAAACTTCTGTAACTGCATGTTATAATTTCTTGAGTACTGCTCCAGCTATTGTGTGGTGTAGTATCCCTATAGCATTGCATATGGTTGGAATACTATGGTTTTGCTTACCAGAATGCACTGAATAAATGTCTCATTAATCTTTTCCCTGTGACTGCCAGTCCTAGAAAGGAATATGAGCAGTTCATTATTTTGAATTAATCATCAACCTTCATCTTCCTTTTCTCTGCCTCTGGTACTCCTCACAATTTTCATTAGCCCTGAAAATATTCATAATGTTTTTTGTTATCCACAGATGCTGCCAGTGGACTATGTGTCTCTTTTTTCCAGAAAATGGCACTGTTTCGGTACAAATCCATCAGGCACTCTACTGTTAATATACTGTTAATAATTTTCAGGTTGAAAACTGACCATCATTGTGATTTGCTTCTTGTGTATTACTTTTAACTCTCATTCCATGCCCAGTCAGATTACTTAATAGTTTCGTGTGAAGGATTCGCTCAGAACCTTCTGAAGAGTTCAGTTAAATGGTATCCTTTTAAAAGATATCCTTTTTACAGACCCTTTGTGATACTGAATTGACATTGATTTGAGGTGCATGGTTTTAAAAATGTTGTACTGATTTGTTGCTCTATCAGTCTTTTTTTATTTCATTTTTCAATAGTTTCAACTCATTTGTCTACTCCTTGAGGTAAAAATCACTGGCTTGTAATAGATCTGATCTCATCTGGTTAACAATGTATGACTTTCCCCTGAAATTAGGTACAGTATCGTTATTTTTTATTTCTCCTTCTGAAGGCTTTAAATCTAACAGATTAATGGATTCCCACTTTTATAATTGCGAATAAACAGAGTTAGAAAATGTTCATTTTGATTAGCTTACCCAGGGCTGAAAGTGATACATAACTAGGACAATACCTGGGTGTGAGTAGATGTCAAACGTGTCAGGTCGCTTTCTCTTCTCCCACATCGCACATGGGAGGGTGGATAGCTCGCTCAGCAGCAAAGCGAGCAGTGGAGCTGTTTGTTTCCCCTTTAGACTGACCGCTGTGGCAGGCTTGTTGGTCAGAAATAATGGTTGATTTTTGCAGCGGTGAGAGACAGAACTATTTTGTATTAGAAGTGCAGACAAAACAGATCAAAATTTTGAAGAAAGCTTTTGAAAAGGAGATGAAGACTGCAAGTAGAGATTTTATTTTCTTGTTTAAGATGCAGGCACGTTTCTGTATTTGCAAGGTGTAGTTGCAGCTAACAGTTTAGTATAAGCACGCATCCAGCCTAGAAGTATTTGAAGCGGATTTTGAAATGGCACCAAGATACTAATTTTGCGTGTAAAATTGTCAATACTTGGTATTTTGTTCTGGTTTTGGAACAATTATGGAAAATGGAGATTAGTCTAGACTTTACTGCCTGTATACTATCTATGTATTCTTACTAAATGTCTTGAAAGTTTGTTGACTTTTTTGTTGCATATAAACTGTTCAGAAGTAACCTAAAATGTGAGTAAGAGTGTAAATACTGCAAGTAGATGTCTGGCCAATACAAGATTCAGCTTACTCTGTGCAGCTGCTAGCAGTAGCCAAGGTTTATACTACAATTTTTCATCTGGGAGAGAGGAGAAAACACTTCAAACCACTACCAGAGTAGATAGCGCCGTAGCTAAATTGCAGAGTGCAGAAATTGACAGAATTGTAAATTATCACAGTAAATACCATCCAAACAGGAACTGGGCAAGGTGTTGGACCGCAGCCATATACTTTGACTTACACAGATGAAAGTGAGGGTAGTGAACATAATTCATATGCTACCACATCCATGAATAAGTATAGGATTTGGCCAAGAAGATGACAGTTTTAAGAAAAGTGGCAATTCCTCAGCTGTGAGACACTTTTAAAGGAATTACTGGGCATCAACATGTGCTGAAATTTAATATTTTGGTTACTGCTAACTGAACTTTTAATGGCTGGTTAATGAAATGGCTTCAAACGGATGTTTTGATGTTTTGTGTATATATCATTGACTATTTCTGTATTTCTGATTAGGCAGAAGCTGGATAAACACACAGACAGTCCCGGTAGCAGATACCAGAGCCTGGGGTGGTTCCATTTTTGGAATCTAAAAATATTTGAGGGGGTTGGGGTTCTTAGGGCTCTATTTTGCCCAGAGAGGACTTGGGGCAGTGGAGCTAGGATGCCAAATTCTTTGTAGCATGTTTGTGGGAGCACTCTAAGCTAACACATACTCTTGACATGAAACCATTAATCCAGCGCCTTTGTAGACAATATAACAAATATTGAATGTTCGGTTCAGTGTCACAACACAGAAGATGCCTGCTAGGCAGTATGCAAAGGTCCAAGGTTTTTCTTACATAAAAAGACAAGAGTGTGGGGCGGATTTATGCCATGTTCATGAAAGATGGAGGGAGTTTACCTGTCATCTTGTCTTCCATAGGGGCAGCAAGGCCACATCCAGAGTGCTCTAATAAACCATGACTGGTTTTGTTGTCTTGTAGAAAAAAAACCTGCTCTGATTATAGTATTTTTTGCTGATGGAGAAATTTGAACTTATACACAAGTGCTACTAAAATTAATCACTGTAAAGAATGGATTTAGGTGGAGTAGGACATGGATTCTGGTCTCATAGGAACCAAGATTCCGTTGCTGTGCAAGATGGCTGCACAAGCCGAAAAGACTTCAGCTGAAGGATGGCTGACAACTGCTGTGGAAAACAGTAAGCTCTGGATGTAGATTTGAAGATCTGAAGTTAAGAAAAAACATCAAACAGAAGATGCAATGACACCCAAGGACACTGTGAGTCAACTGAGGTTTACAGAGGATGGATTAGTTTAATTACTTTGTACTAACAAAGGAAATAGGGAATTATAAAGGAATTTACAAGTACATTGGCGCAGAAAAAAATATTTGGAGGAGAAAGTGAGTAGTTTGCTCACTCTCCTTATTTAATAGTGATGAAGACTGATATGGCAGAGCATCAGGGCTTTGAAAGAGAAAGGTTTTTGCCGAGTTGGAAGGTTACTCTATTCTTATACATAAAAATAAAAAGCTGGCTGATACGTGTTGCAGGATATTAATGGAAGTGACTAGAAATATGTACCAATGCCAGTTTTTATTTGAGAAAATGTAATGGATAACTGGAACGCAAGAAGTAAATAAATGCAATACAGTGAATCTTTTGTCTTGTTAAATCTAACTTCTGTGTAAATTTTAAGGATTTTTCTTACTCACGTTGCATAAGGGACACGTTCTGGCATGTGTTACAACACTACACAACAGATAACACTACTGAAAGCCGGGAGCAGTGTTTGTGTTGACGGGAACGTAGTCGGAAGCAGAATACATGTTTTACAGCACTGCTCACTGGACTATGTCCAGTGAAGACCATAG